TCTGACCCTAACCATAACCCTAATCCTAACCCCTAACCCTTACCTTAATCCTAATCGTGCTCAAATCGAACTCGGATCGAACTCGAATCGCTGCCGACAAACTTGGAAATGTGGAGTTTTGTTCCGCCACTACCAGGGAAACTCCTGCCAAAAATACTTTGAATTATTCCAGAAAATCTCGAAATGTGTAATCAGTAGGGATTGCATTGCGTGAGGGGAACATCAGTCATCAGCTAATTGATATTAAACTGTTGTCTGCATTTACTGCATGGACTCAATAACGCCAGACTTAATGGATTATGAGAATGGAGCAAGTAGTGCCTTCTCATTTTGCACCAACAAATCAGGACTTTTCCCTGGTGCCACACTTAAAGAAACTAAGACCGAGAGGATGTTAAATGCGAATATAGGAAAATTAATGTTTCTAAGCGGTACTGTTTCTATCCTCTTTAAATAAGTCTGTTCTTTACACTGGCTCCCATTATACATTTTCCACACGTTGTTCTATTCACGCTACTCACGCTTTTGCGTTTTCTATATTTCCAAAGAAATAAAATTTGCAACACGTTTTTGCAATTTTTATTTACTTAAGGATGTTTGATTACTAGTTTTCATGCTTTGGTGGATTCATTCGGTCTGATTGAAGATTGTTTAATTATTTTTCTTTAAAACAGGCATATTTAAGGACAGATACAGTAATATCCCCCAACAAAATTGCACATTTGGAGTTGATGAAGGTGACAACTCAAACAAAGATTAAAATTAGTCTCCTTTAAGTAATTTACTTTTTTCAGGTAATTTGTTAAAACTTCACACGCCTGGTGTGAAGCTTGGGGTGTTCCTGTTAGAATTCCTGCGCAGGGTTGTAGCAGTCGGATATATGTAATATCCCCGTCAGTGAAAGGTGACCTTGAAGGATATAAAAGCCACGGTTCCCGGTGTGTATCGCGGTAGATGTATTCAAGCCCTGCTCTGGCAGGTTCGAATGCAACGGAGGTTGCCGAGTTTTTTACAATTCGGTCAAAAGATGAAATTGTCAAAGAACGTAAATGACCTTATGAAGAGGCAGGAATTTACTTATTCCAACCACTCTGATTACTTTAATAAAGAAACCAACGAGTTTATGTGTCAGTTCTACTTTCGTCATTTTTGTTGAAGGGAAGCAAGCTGTGACGTTACATCATTTCTTGCAATATCAAAAGTAACAGCGCAGAGTAACCTTTGAGATATTCCAATTACGGTCATTTTTGTCGTTTAAGCCTGACCGGCAAGTGCAATCTCTTCTGGTACTGATACTGTAGTGAATCACTACGAAATTCTAGAACAGAACATTGCCCAAACAGGCCCCCTTCACAGAATTATACAGCTCCGCTGCTTAAGCTAGCGGGGTATCTGCACTAAGTTAGTCCATGGCTATCACCCATATTTTTAGTGTTTAAGTAAAATCAACTGAAATTTAAATGTATCTTCCGTATAAGTCGTCCGTTTCGCGATACGACCCACATATCGATGTGAAGGAATTATGCTTCAGAATATAGATTGTTGCACTCTGGTTCGATTTATTGCGTAGAATATGCTAATTCTTTTAAGTGCAAAAGTTTTTTCCTATATTCTTCCTGTAATCAGGTTATATAGACGAACTTCACTGACAAAAATACTTTTAAATATTCAATGCAAGCTCATAACCAGACCTAATAACACCTGTAACTTATACAAATAGTTGAATCTGTCTGTAAATAAATGCAATAATCATGCAAACTTGTGATTGCATTCAAAATAAAGCACGTTATTAAAGAGCTTTCTAGACGCTTATACGCAGACACTGATCAACAACGGTACATAGGTTTTTCAGGGTTTGCGTTGATTTCACTCGATGTTGGCATTATAAAGACTGCGTGAGTCTTGGGTTAGCATACTCAGTTGTGAAACCCTAGTCCTCTTGAGCTCTGTTAAATGCAAGGAGTCAATAAGTTAGTCATAAAAACGTCCAAACTTTTAAAGGTGGTTGAGTAGTTGATAAGCATCAATTTGTCTTCTTGTCGTTTAAATGGGTGGAGATGCGTTTTTTTACAAAAATGTATGTCATGTAGCATGGAACCCTTGGCAAAATATGAAAGTGTAAGGTGAGCTGTGGACCCAGAAGAAAAATGTGTTCTATAATCAGAAGTTAAGATGTACTCATTATAAAATATGCGTCAGAAGTGTGATGTCTGTAAATACTTTCTAGGAAATACAATTCACTTTATACCAGTAGTCAATATGGCTCAACTCAATATTCCTCACAGCTTTATTTAACCAGATGACTATCACACTACCCTGTCAAACTTAACATGGTAGCATATTTTAAGCGCACACATCATTTATTCGGGCTAGAGCTTAACTATATGCAGGAATCCATGTTTCACAAGCTCATCGGCCCAATTTCCCTTCTATCTAGACCGTTCTAATTATCTCTTCTCTTGAAATGTACTTGAATATCATTGCTAATCTCCAAAGCGAAATTAAAACTTCTAGCAGAGTTGGACCGTGCGACGGGTCCGGCAGAAATTTAAAAAAAAACCCAGGGCGAATTAGAGATAAATTGTGGAACTTACTCCCATGAGTGGGATGAGACTGTGACCAACAACACAGGCCCTGAGCTCCGCTCGAGTGTATGCTTCTGTAGAAATAACCAACAACGCAGCAATAACGGCTATCTGCAGCATGTTTCGGAGCATTTTTCTTATCGCCACCGAAGTGTGCTTCCTACTTGTCAGTGTTTTAGAGCTCCTGTACGTAAGCCCGACGACTAATGGGTCACTACGCTGGGTCGCTGAATGACTGGTTTGTATATATTAGGGTTTGCGTCGAATCTGCGAATCGCATAACGAGCGCTGCAGCCCACAACATTTGTTTATGAAATTGAGCTTTCTGACGGTCGCCAGCCAGCCAACCATTCGGTTGTCAGTTTTGTTTGGGCGACAGTCAGTGTGTCGAAATCTACTGGGGCCAGGCCAACTAAATGCGGGTGACTAACGTATAAACGGTTGAGAT